CTTCTCATGCTGAGCTCGTGCCACCCTCCGCAACTCAGTGCTCAGTGCACGGAGGCTTCTCACTCGTTCTCTATGACTAAACTTCGTGTTCCTGTAGGAAAAGCCATAACTAGGTGCTTACTATATGCAGCTCAGTGAATCGATGCCTTTGGCACTAGATACAAAAATAAGACTCAAACCACAAGGTATTAATTCTCTCTTACTCTTATTACCTGGACCAACTTCCATGTTCTGGAACTGGTCATTCTGGTCAGAAATGATTTTTGATAGCTCCTAATATAGCCCGTTATTCAAAGTTCTCCAAGAGAAAGCTCATATTCAAGTGAAATCCACCATTTGTGTTCCTATTCCAATGAGATTTATAATATATTAAGAACTCTCTCCCTTTTAAAAGATTCATGCCTGCCTAACAAGCATAAGGTTGTGAGTTCAATTCCTGGTACAAAAAAAAAAAAAAAAAAAAAAAAAAAAAAAAAAAGAAAAGAAAGGTTCAATTTTATCAGTTTGATTGACAGCCTGACAGGACTTTAGACATAAACAGATGTGGCTACTGGGCTAGTGATAATTTCTCTGTTATTGACTCTGTTTATGACCTCCTCTGTTTGCTAATCGTTGCCCTGTAAACTCGGTTCAAAGTGAAGGAATCCACGTATGTGCAGTGTGTGTCCCATACTCAAGAGAAATCAAGGCCAAGCATCCAAACCCCAGCATGTGGACATTCTTGAAAAGATTGCCTACACACGAGGAAAGTTCTCACCCTTACTCCATTAAAAACCAACAAAAATTCCAAGTCACTTGGCAGAGTTGGACTTCAGATCCTGTGGGCATCCCATCTCTGCTCGTCCCTCTCCTTAGCAATGCGTATCCTCAGACATACCGGTACTCTTGTTCTTCCTTGAACTTTGGTAAGGTTCAGCTTTGACAGCATTTCTGTATCCTTCCAGAGAGTGAAGTTCCAGAAAAAGCCCGTCCTTTCTTGCTTTATGCATGTCCACCCATCTTCTCTGTCCTAAGGTGGCATAATCAGAAAAAAATTGATCAGAATCACTCACAGTGGAGTAAGTGTAGTTACTTATATTATCACTAATTCCCTTACAAATTGCAAAATATATTGATCTACATTTTGTAGATAAGAACACTAAGATGCACAGACTCAATAAGATGCACAGACTCAATAAGCTGCCCAGAGTAAAACAGCTAGTAAATATCAGTTAGTTTATATCACTGGATTGAGTTCTTCTGTTGAAGTCCACCCCCACTCAATAATGTGTAAATTTATAAACCTAAGACCTTCAAACAGGTCAGTAACTTAATGTGAGTCCACTGGAATGGGCACCAACCCAAAAGGACTATTGCTCCTTCAAGAAGACATTTGTGAAACAAAATAAACACCAAGAATGTACGCACAAAAAAGAGAACCTGTGACAAGACAGTCTTCTACGAGCCAAGGCAAAAGGCCTGAAAGGAATCCAACTGCTGGCATCTTGATCTTGAGGTTTTGGCCTGTAGAAGTGTGACAAAAGTCAAGTACTGTTGTGTAAGCCACCCAGTCTGTTGCTATTTTGTTAAGGCAGTTTTATAGCAAATCAAACTATATGACTTGGGTTGGATTTAGGTGCTAGTAACATAGAACTGTCAGCATTGGCTTAAACGAGGGCTTTACAAGTGGAAGACCATGGGTCAAATCTAGCCAGTGCCTCTTTTGCTAAATAAAATTTTATGGGAGCATTACTGTGCCCATTTGATTATGTGCTATACATGGTTGTTTCCATTCTGTAAACACAATTTAGCAGTTATGACAAAACACAAGGGCGAAAAAACCTCGGTATTTTCTATTGCTATTATACATTTATTTCTTTTTTCTTTTGGGATGCTCAGAATGCCTTCAGGGCAGGTCTGGTTTGGCTTGAGGATGAGGGGATCGAACCACAGCATCCTGAGCCTGACTGCTTTGTTTCAGCAGGCACTTAAACATCTGAGCTAATGGGAAGGCCCCCTATACATTTATTTCACTAATTTTTTTTAATTTTTCCTGGATGATACCTTAGAGAAAAAGTTGGTGACTACTTTTGTCAGCAAATACGGGTTTACTATTTCACACCTCCATCCCCCCAACAGCTCAACATCTACGCTCTATATATTTGCACTACTATCCTCAGAAGATGGGTTGTATCTTGCATTATCAAACTACACTATATCTACTGGGCAACCTTGCATCCTATCTGAAATTTTAGAGGTTAAAGGGAAAGAGCAGGGCAGAGAAAGAGTGTCTTCTCATATGAATCACATCTAGACTTCTTAGAGGTAAGGACCTGATATCAGATAGTCACAAAGAGTTATGGCGAAGGGAAATAATGAGGTTATGGAAGTCAAACTGAATGCATTGGGGATGTGAGGACAGAAAGCACACAGGTTCTGCTGAGTGTTTAATGGCTCACTGTGCTGCCCCTGAAGCTCCATGGTAGAGAGAAAGTTGGCTGAGCCGTGTGAGGCAGAGAATGGCTTGCCAGGAAAGGGCCTCAGTTTAGTTCTGGGTGAAGGGTACAAAGGCAGGTGAAGTGAGAGCATATGCACTATAAACACACTGGGAAGACAAACAAACCAACTCAGAGTCAGAGAGAGTTGTCTTGGTGTCCCAGGGGCAGCCTGTCCTAGCAGGAACTTGCTCAGGAAACTGGGGAAGTAAAAGAATGTGTTCAGATGACACAAAGCTGTAGCACCAGTGCTGGCAAATCTAAGGAACATCAAAGGAAAGGATACTAATGAACATATGCAAAGCTCCTGTGTGGGACACTGGAAGATGAGTGTATGACGTAGTCTTGACCTCACTGCCAGCAGAATCTGATAGAGAATCCAACTTTAATCTACGTGAGGATATGGCATTTGTATTGTTTGTTGTAATGCATGTTTTATTGCATCTCCTGGCAAAGAGAACAATGGATAAATTCTGACTGATATTTCAGGAATCCTTCACAGGAGGACGACATTCAGGCTCTTAGGATTTCCGCAATCTAAGGCATCTGAAAGAAGTAGTCAAATCTAGCCCACTATACTTCCATTTCTGATGTTAATTTGTATTTTTGCAATCCAAAGAAAGGCAGCATAGGCCTAGAGGAATATAAATAAGTGCAAAATCATATTTATATTCCTGTAAAAATGCGCCTTTTCAGCAAAACCTTCTCCAAGTCTCCAAGCCAGAAATAATGTCTCCATCTTTTGTGTTTCATTTGCAATTAATATGCATAACTACATCAAAAGCTGCCCTAGAGTGTCATTTGCTTGCTGTATTTAATCTCTGATTTATTTATGATTGATTCAGTTGATCATCAATCTTAATTTTTAACTATGTATCAGTATCTAGCACTCTACTCAACTGGAAAATATAGAGATGAATACATTTTTGTTAAAAAATACACAATCAAATGTATTATACTCATATGATAGTATATTTTCAATAAAAATGGAATATCCTAATTACACCATAGATAAACTTCAAGATAATATTCTAAGTCAAAGAATCTAGACCCATGATATGATTCTATATATGTAAATGGCTAGAAAAGCTAAATCTATAGAGATCTAAAATGGTTCTGAGTAGCTTAGAGAAAGGAGAGGAAAACATCTTTTTGTCAGATGGAAATAGTCTAGAACTGTGATCACGGCACAGTTGCTTAAGTAATTTACTATTATTAAAACATACACTGAAAACAATGGATAAGTATGGTCAAAACTGCATTTTAAATTTTTATACAGTTTAGATTAGATAAATGATAGATGAAAGAGATACATGAAAGATAATAGAAGATAGATAGATAGATAGATAGATAGATAGATAGATAGATAGATAGATGATAGATAGATAGATAGATGGTAGATAAATCTAAAGAGTTAGAGATGATTGGTCAACTTAGCTCGGTTCTTACAAAAAGACAAGTTCATTCCACATTGTTAATGGTCATTTAGTTCAAACATAAAGAAAATTTTAGTAGTGAAGAAAATTGGGAAAAAAAAAACCTAAGAATTCATGAGTCTATTATGCCCTAAATATTTTAACGTTGCCTGCATCAAGCATTGTGTCTCTAAGGTGACCCGCGTATGGGGCCGTACTGAGGTGTGCTCTAAGGTAATGAACGGACAGACAGCACACACGAAACTGTCTTGTCTGAGATGTCTGAGATGTGGAAGTGAGATGTTGGAATGACCTGCGTGCCAAGCTAATTAGTACCTAGCGATTTGACCACTTAGGTCTTAGGCTGGACCTTCCCCGAAGAAGCAATGCCAAAGAGAAAGGAGTGTTACTCTCAGGTAGCTGTGAGGGCAAACAGAAAAGGAGCACAAACCTGAAAGTCACCGTAACCACAAACATTGACACTGTGTGAAACTCTGAAATTCAGGTACAACATGAAAGAAAGTCAGTAGCAAGAGTTAGTGGCCTTCGTGTGCTACCAGGCAGCCTCAGTGTAAGCCTAAGAGCAGAAGTCTGAGTTTGCAGTACAAGAGGATACAAAACTGAGGTCATGTTTGGTAAAAGCTGGTTCGAAGCAACTGGTATTGATTCATTTAAAAACTGTGAATCCTTACTGAAACAGAAAACAATGAAGCCCTTCGATCTGTCTCCTCTTCCAGCACTTCACTGGACCTAACTAAGCCATCTCCCTCACCAACAAACACCAGAACTTGTCTGAAACTTATGTGATTGTTTGGCCCGTGCCAGCTAGAATGAGTCCAAACCTTATCTGTGCCTAGCACAACGATCCCCTTCCTAGCCAGAAAAAGTCCTTGCTTCCTTCAGGGAACCATGCTGTAAGCTCTTCATCCATGTGAGTTCCTCTGTCTGGACAGTAGATAGTCTCATGCATTTGTCTTTTTCTGTCCTTGGATTTCAACTTCATACAAAGTGAAGAAGTGGCACGTTCTTACAAGTGAGCTCTGGGTCTGAAATTCACTACATTCAGGCACAGCCCACCCGGGCGTGGTGTGCCTACTGCTACAGTGACCACATGCCTGGCTCAGGCCCCGATGGCAAGACGAAGCAAACCTCCACTGATGGGAGGAACTGCTGTCAGTCCCAAGGCAAGGCCCTGCTTGGCTTTGCCCCCATCCCCACCATCTCCCCAAATGCTGAGCTTCAGACCTTGCTTGCGGTCATCTTTAGCCTTCATTCTGAGAAGAAGCCTCATGTGGACCTTGCGATGTGGAAGTGTGAGTCCCAGCAGTACTCCAGAGATCTGGGCCAGAGCAGCTCCCTGAGCAGAGCGACTTTGGGATGCCCCCGCGGTGTGGGTCCTCTAAGGAGCTCTGACCTTCATAGAGGGGAGCCAGTGTAAAGAGCTAGTAGGTTCTCTCCATGAAGACCTTGCACATCACAGAAGATTTGGGGCCAAGGTGACCATGCGAGACCCTCAATTCAGGACAAGCCGTGCTGCTCTCTGCCCTCAAGAAATTTTCTCATAATCCAGAACTCACAGCTATCTTAAATGATAGGTTCCTATTGTAGTTTCTAGCTGGTTTTATTTAAAGCAAAATATCCCATACTGAATGACCAAAATAAGAAGAATTCTTTTGCACACAGTTCCAAAAGTTAGAAGTCCAACATGAAGATGTTGGTGGGTTTGTCTTCCCCTGAGGCCTCTCTCCCTGGCCTACAGAGGTCACTTTCTTGTGGTGCCCTCATGTTTCTCCTCTTGGCCTCTGTGTTTGTGTCCTAATCTCTCCTTTTAATGATGAAGTCATACTGAACTATGACCTACTGATATTTCACAATTTTACTGTGTTTTTCCACAAAGGCCCTATTTCCAAGTACAGCACATTCTCAGGTAGAATAGATTAGCATTTTTCCATATGGATGTGCAGGGACACAATTCAGCGCCTCACTTACTACCTTCTGGCCCCCTGATTCATGATCTTTTATACAAACTGCATCCCCCCCCATTTTAACCTCCATAAATGCCTTAACTTTTCCATCATCAAATCTAAGTCCAAAATCTCATCCGAATCTCATCCAAATTAGTTGATATGAGTGAGACGAGAGGTATGATTCATTCTGAAGGAGAATTCCTCTCCAGCTGTAAACCTGTAAAGCCAGACAAGTTGGCTTCCAATATGCAGTCGTGGGAGGGCCACAAAATAGATGCCCCCATTGCAAAATGGAGAAATCATTAAGAAAGGGATCTCAAGCAACCTCACGACAAAAGTAAATTCCTGTAGACTTTGAAGTACAGAATGATCTCCTTGGCCTTTTCCCTGCCCTGCAGGCTCACTGGTGTAGAATAACCAGACTTTTGGCCCAACAGAGCACTGACCTCACCCTTAACCTCTAGGTATCAACCTGCACACCGACACCAATGAGGTATCAGGGACTAGAAAGGACTCCCCCTCTGGAGCCATGGTGAAGACCACTTTGCCCTCTTTGTCCCTGGTCTTTAGTATCATGGTGGCAGTCCTAAGTCATCGCTGGGGGTTTCCTTCCTTCCACTTGAAGAAGAAAGCATATATGAGTCAGAGAATACTATCAGCTAGCCCTGAGCTCACATTGTTTTCGTTTCCTCTTGTCCTTGAGCCTTTCAGTGCAAGCTAGCAGTACTTCTGCTGAGATGGTTGATTGGACCTATGAATAACACTCACAACTTCTTTATAATATAGTTGTACGGCCACGGAGTGTTCTTACCAGAGCAAATGTTTTCATCTTTGTCAACATAAGTCAAGAAATTAACAACTCTAATCTGGTACCTTTTCACTTCGTTTCATCATTTGTCTCTTCTCACATTATAAGAAGAAAGGAAGAAGGAGCTTTCTTCCAACACTTAGCTTGAAATATACTCAGAAAAGTAATCAAATTCATCACTCACAACTTGCCCTTCTAAAAAATGCAAGAATGCAGTTCATTCAAGTTCTTTGCCAGTAGAAGGACTGCCTTTCTTCCACGTTCTAAGCCCTGGCCCAAATCAGCTTTGTGGCCCGTATTTCCACTAATAATCTCTCTCGGGTACCTAGACTTTTTCTTATATGAACCTACTTCCAAATGCTTTCAGCCTCCACACATCTACTTTGATTATCTATCTTTCATTTTGGTTTTAGTAACATCTTGTGTTTCTCCCATCAGAGCAACCATATGATACTTAAGCTTTTGTGTCCAATTTATTTCATTTGACAATATGGCCTAAAGGGGCATATATTTTCCTACAAATTACTGAAGATTAGCATGCTTTATTAAAAGGTAATACTCCATGTGCCTAAAGAGAGTCACATGAGGAGAAGACATTCTCTCAGGCTTTCACAGAGAGCACATTGGCCAAGCAATGGCCGTGACTCATCCACATGGCTGCACTGACAAAGGTTCTACAATCTGAGGTACAGGATCTCAGGATAAATCCTGAGGGCATTTCACTGACCTTCTCAAACCAAAAAGCTACAACTCTTGTTGCATAGGTTCTGCTTTACCTTGGTCTTAACCATCCAGTAGAAAAGTATGAAGATGAAATATAGGAAGTAAAGCCATGTTGTTATGTTGAGCTGTGGGGGACTCACGTCAATAATTTCTGACATTGCCAATTAAACAGAAGACCCAATGCTATTATGGGCTTCTGTACTCTTTTAGAATATTTTGCTGAGTTTACACACCTATAATATTCAACAACGGAACTTAAAAAAAATTGGGGTATAACTATGAATGTCCATTTTGTATCTGTGTATTCAAAGTGGTTGGGATAGATATATAGTTGCATTCTCTTAATGAATAGAATGATTTTTTCTAATGGTGTTTGTAAGTAGGATCACAAGTCTGCATCTTGTACAGCAATTAACCACTAAGAAGAATATATGCAGTGTATTATTTGTCGAAACTGTACTTTCGATTTGATTTGAAACTGTCTCATTGCTATATGTTTATCAATAAAACTTTGAAAAGAAAAAAAAATGAAACAAAAAAATAAAAAAAAAGGTAATACTCCAGTTTGTATAAATACTACATTTCTTTAACCATGTATCTATTTATGGACATATAGTGTGCTTCCAAGATTTACCTATTGTAATAGGTAAGATTTTATGTATTTAATTTTTTTCATACTATTACAAATGGTATTTTTTTCTAATTTATTCTTCACTGAATTCATTATTGGTGTACATTCTTTTATTTATGTATGCAGGTTTTATGTCCTGTTACATTGCTAGATTTGGTTATTAATTATAGGAGTCTTTTAGCGAATTGTTGGGGGTATTCCATATAGAAAATCATGTCATCTGCATATCATAATAATTTGAATTCCTTTTTTCCCATAGTGGTCGTTTTCATTTCTTTCTCTTCTTGATTGTTCTAGCTAATATTGCAAATACTCTGTTGAACTGGAGTGGTGATAATAGACATCAATGTGTATTTGCTGATTTTTTTTTCACCAGGGATTAAACTCAAGATCTTCTGCTTGCCAGGAAAGCACTTATGCCACTGAGATACAACTCCAGCCCCTAGCTGCTGATTTTTGAGTAAAAGCTTTCAGTTTTTCTCATTTGATGTGATGTTGGCATAGATTTCTCATAAATGGTTTTTATCAGCTTGAGATAAGATCTTTGTATACCTATTTTCCTCAGAGCTTTTCTTTTAATTTTGTATTAATTTGGTACAGGGTCTCAATAAGCACTTCATACTGATCCTCATGTCTCAGTCTCCCCAGCACTGGGATTACAGGCATGTGCCACCATGCCCAGTTTCAGTGGGCAGCTGGGTGCAGGGTTGGCATGGCATGTGGTACTGGGATTGAACCTGGGTCCTTGAGCTTGCCAGGCAGGTGTTTAGACAATCGAGCTAGCTCCTCAGCCCCTCAGAGTTATTTTTATCATGAATATGTATTGAGTTTTGCTGAAGATTTTCCTTTATCTATTGAAATGATAATAAGGTTTTTGTTCTTGCCTCTGCTTATGAGATATATTACACTTAACGATTTGCATATGTTGACCAATCTTGCATTCCTGGGATGAAGCCTACTTGGTTATGATACATAATCTTTTTCATTATTTGTTGTGTTCTGTTTGCCAGTATTTTGTTGAGTATTTTTGCACTGATGTTCTTAAAGGCATTGGCCTGTAGATCTTTCTCAGATCCTTGCTGACTTTGCAATTAGGGCAATGCTAATTTCCCAGAATAAATTTTAGCATACTGCTTCCCTTTCAGTTTCATTAAAGATTGTGAAGAGTATTGGTCTTCAGTATTTCCTGAAGTTCTAGTAGAATTCAGCAATAAATCCATCAGGACCTAGGTTTTTCTTATTTGGTATATTATGTGTGTGTGTGTGTGTGTGTGTGTGTGTGTGTGTGTGTGTGTGTGTGTGTTTAACTGCTTCAAATTTACAACCTGTTGTTGGAATATTTGGTTTTTGGTAACTCATGTGTACCTAGGAAATCACCACAGGTTTCACTGCTAAAATACTTACTAATATGCTTCTGGATTTCAGCAGTGTTGCTTCTGGTTTCATCTTTTCTATTTCTAATTGCAGTGATTTGGGTCTCTCCTTTTTTTTTTTTTTTTTTTTTTTTTTTTTTTTTTTTTTTTTTTTTTTTTTTTTTGCTAAAATAGGCTAAGGATTACCCATCTTTGTACAAATGTGTATGTTACTGTTGTTGCCATGGACTGTTTTGTTTATTCCTTACAGGAACCAGGAATTGAATTTGTTGATTCTCTGTGTTATAGTTTTGGTCTCCATTTTATTTATTTCTTCTGTGATCTTTGTAAGTTCCTTTCTTGTAATAGCTTTGGATTTCGATTTGTTTGGTTTGTCTAAGACCTTGAAGTCCATCATTAGGTTACTTATTTGGGCTCACTCTGTTTTTTCTGATGTGGGCATTCACATTATAATCTTATTCTTAGGATTTTTTTCACTGTGTCCATAAGTTCTGGTATATTGTATGGGCATTATTATTCAACTTTAGAAATGATTTTATTTCCTGCTTCAGTTCTTCAGTTACCCATTAATTATTCAAGAGGGTAATGTTTAATTTCAATGATATGCATAATTTCTACAGCATTTTGCCATTGAGTTCTTGTTTCATTGCACTGTGATCTGATACTCTGCATAGTATAAATTCAATTATTTGCATTCATTTAGGGATGCTTTATGGGTCAGGATGTGGCCCAGAGATAGTTCTATATGCTGCTAAGAATAATATGGATTTTATTATCATTGGGTAAAGCATTGTGTACATGTACATTAAGTCTATTTGTTATGTTTTATTTAGTACTGATATTTATTTGGTGATTTTTGTTTAGTTAATCTATATCTGTGTGACAGTGAGATATTGAGGTCCTACACTATAACTTTGCTTACTCTTATTTGACCTTCTATGTCCAGTAGTATTTGTTTTATGATGTTGAGTGCATCGTGGGTATACATATTACATATTATAATTTATACATATTAATTAATATATAAAAAATTAATATATACATATATAAATAATTGCTGCATGGTCCTGTTGATCTGTTACTTTAAAAATATGAAGCAATATAATTTTGATCAGCTATGGCTTACTCCATTTTGCCTAAAAAATAGGATAGCTACTCCTATTTATTTTCAAGATCCCATTGAACAGAATTTTGTTTTCCATCATTTGATTTTTAAGGTAGGAATTTCTTTTTTGATTTAAACATATTTCATGTACAGAGTATGCTATACCATTTCTTTATGCTTCTTGATTCGTTGTGCCAATCTGTGTCTTCCAATTGGGTGAATTAGACCACTTAGGTTGAAAAATATTGCTGAAAAGTATCGACTTATTCCTGTCATTGCATAATGTTCCTGCTGCTGATCTCTTTTACTTCCCTTCTACTTGGACGTTCACCTGGTGCGTTCACTCCATTGGACCTTTCATATGGTCTTTGTTTCAGCATCTGAATCTTCACTCATCTACAGCTCACTTTTGACTGTGGTTTCTGGTGTGAGGGCTGCAATTTAGAATGCAGACTTGTTAATAGTGACTCTTCCTTTTCACATGAAGGTCACCGTAAGAAAGTAGAGATAAAAGCCAGCACTGGAATGGAGAATCATTTGACAGAAGGGTGGCTTACTTTGCAGAGTGAAGAGTATATGCAGCAGTAGAACAGGTAGAAAATACTGGTGAGGGCCAGTATCCTAGGAGACATGGAGAGGAGGCCCTGCCTGAGAGACAAGGATGAAAGTTGTAAAGATAGGAAAAGAATCAATCAAGGTACCTTATTGGCAGGTTAACTATGAAAAAGAAAGCAGAGTCATAGCAGGCAACACAGAGAGGCCAAGTCCTCTCTTTCTTGCCTGAGTTGCTGACCTTAGTTGTTGCCCACACATGCACAGGCCACAAGAAAGCCTTATGAAGACAGCCCCAGAGTAGGGAGTGGGGATCTGCAGCAATGGGCTGTAAAATGGG